GGGGGAGCAGCACGGAGCCCATTTTAAATTCGGCTTTTGCGTTCGCTAACATCCACTGCAATATTGGTTTTGTATTGTTTTAAAATGTGAGGTAATGTTCTTGTCAATGACCGTTGTGCTCTAGGTGACCCTGCCTGAGCAGGGTGGTTGGGCTAGATGATCTCCAGAGGTCCCTTCCAACCTTGGCCATTCTGCGATTCTAAGATTTCAGGGTTATTTTTGCTTTCTGCTGAAAAATCAGAACGAATAGGGTGATATTTTCCTTGGCTCTCTGAATAGCAGTAGCAGTGCTATGAGCTGTTTTGGCTTGCTGTGACCTCTATTATGAAGCACCTGACTCAAGCACATTATAAACCCTTTCACTGCTCTATTGATCGGTGTTACTAAGTGCTTCAAATGCATTTGCATCTGGCATAAAATACGCGATAAAGTAGAAATGCAAGCTGCAAACAGCACCCGTGAATGCCGGTTTGAATGCATTTTCAATTCCCTCTGACTATGTTTGCGCTCGCTCTTTACTAACAGTCTTGGAATGTTTGCAAAAACTGATTTTTCGCTCGCTGAAAGCGGTGTGATCGTACGTTTTTCGTGAACACCCAGAGCAGAAAGTATTGCATGGCAATCTGATCCGAAGCCACTCCAAATCAATGGGTTTTTTTCCCAGCGAATTCAGTGGGCTTTGGATCAGGCCCAGTGAGCACTGAGGAATCATCTAATGAAAGAACAGCCCTGGAACCCCGTGATTTAGGCAGCCACTCACCCAGCACAAATAGTAAATTACAAACAGCAGATCCTGGTAGCAACGGGCATGAATAGTCTGTAGTCAGCAATTCACAGCCTGAAATATGTTGGCATAAACAATGCCTCAGATAATTTCAGCTAACCAATGCATTTGTGAAAATCCAAGCCCGTTTACGGATAACTTTCAGAAAGGCAAATTCAGCAAGAAAAACATTTGCAGGAAAAATAACCTGCCCACTTTTGGTTTAGTGATCATTTAAAAATAGCTTTTGGGTACGAGCTGGCCTTTGAAGGCACCAAACGCCCTCGGGTAGGACCTGCTGCGTGTGTGTCAGCCTCACTTAGCCCTCGTTTCTTTTGCATCGGTTTTGCTGTGGTTTTCCGTTCTCAAATACCTTTGCTGATGAGGCTGAGTCATTTGGAGCAGTGAGGACGAGAGTTGCCTGCAATGAGTTGCAGAAAGATCCTACAGCCCTGAGCGAGCAGGCAGTAAAAGGAACGGCAAAATTCAGAGCAGATGAATGTAACGTTATGTAGATGGAGGGGGGGGGAAATACAGTCCCAAGTTCACATGTATGAGAATAGTCTCTGCAGTGAGCTTCACCACTCCGAAACAAGACCTTGGTTGGCCTGGTAATAAATGTTTCTATGTAAACTCTCTGCTAATCTGCTCTTCTGACCACTCCTGAGCAATGCAAAAATACCATGAGGGACCTGGTTGTCCTGCCTTTGCACAGGGCTTGGATTTTGCACATAAAATGCAACAGGGTTTTGCAGTAAAATACAGCCTGGGGTCACCCGCTGAACAGTGTCGAAGAGGAGGGGGGGGAAAAAAAAAAAAGAGAGATTGCTTCGAGGCTTACTAAATGAGCTGCAGGCGCCTAGTGCACAGAGGGCTGCAGAAAAAATAGTTGCGCCTGTGCATTTAAAGATGGTGTCATCACGTACGTGCAAGGGGAAAGAAAATAAGCTTCACGCTGACGTTTCCTAGCTTCTGGCTTTGCGGCTGCAGCGGCGTCCCTTTAATGTTCCTGGGAAGTTTGCCTTGTGCTCAATAGCCGAGGACGGGGCACACGTTTAGCTGGCGAGCAGCTCTGTGCCCCTTGCAGGGCGGAGGCTGGGGAAAGGCGGACCGCCTCGGCCATGCCGCGTGGATCAGCGTGCCGGTGGCTAACGGGCTACCTACCCCACCTCTGTATGCACCAGCTTCTCGAAACTCAGCCTTGTTCCTCCACGTCCCCCTGCCTACACCCTATACGAATCTGTCGCCCCATCTCCCGCTTTGTTCAGGGCGTCTTTCTGTTCCCGTTGTCAAGAGCTGTGTCTTATATTAATGCCTCAATTAGAGAGCGCCTGTCGTTTGTAATTCAATTAGTGATATCCCCAGGAACGTAAAGCATGACAGAGGGAATTAGTGGCAACGTATGAAAATGATGCATGGGCGTGGGTAAAGGTTTAACCGCGTTCGTGCCAGCGCGCTTTGCAGGCGACGCACGCAGGATGCAGCTTTCCGGGCTTCTGGACAGCGCTGGATGGGGATGTTTAGCCTCTGCTCTGGTTGTCTCACGAGTTTAGCGTTACTATAAAAAGCGAAAATGAAATCTAGAGCTGCTTACCAACTTCCCTTTTCCATTTCTTTCCCATGGAAATATTTCTATAATGAGAATTTTCCTTTAGGCAAAACTCCCCTATTTTTCCGTATTTAAAAAAAATTATTATATTTTGCTCATGGTTTTTTTTTTTTTTGGCTGTTTATTTTATGTCATATAGAATGCTTTGTGGTCAGCTTGAATAAGATTGTCCTGCAGCGATGTGATGTGATTCTGTGACGCTTTTTACCTCCTGAAGTAGCAAACATGCTGGAAGAAGGTGGACAGCTGAGCAGTGACCTCCCCAACTCGAGAAGGGGGGAGATAGGCTCCACTGCCCACCTAAGGGTTAACCGAGCTGGAGTCTCCCAGTATACGGGAAAAAACCGGACCCAGAAGATGGGGAAGGAAGTGGGTCTGGGGGGGGCTGGGCAAACCGGGGACACCTTCTCCCAGGCATCCTGCCAGGGTCCAGTCTAGCTATGGCTGGTCAGATTTAGGCAAGTGCAAGTTTTTGAGCTCTATGCACAGGTACATTTTGCAGCAGTTATAGTCAGGAAGTCAGAGCAGATAATGTAAAATGGCTCTTTGTGGCCAAAACGCTAATAAAAAGCTATGACATCATGCTGGGGTTTTTAGCCCACAATAGAGCTCTGTTTCTGAAAACGGAGTTTGTGGAGGCCGCATCTTGTTCTCGCTGCACTGCTTATTTCTCCTGTCCACAGGGCAGGTGGTTTTCTAGCGTAGGAACAGTTTTGTGTCCGGCTAGTGCGCTCAGCACCCTACTGAACTTGGCTGCTCAATGCTACCAAAGGAAGGGGGAGGCAGCCTGGGGCGAGCGGTGCTGCCAACCTTTCTTGCGTCGGGGGCCTGCTGCATCTGTCTGCAGGGAGGAGGCTGCAGAGGTGGATAACCTTTGTGGGTTTTTTGGTTTCTCATTTAAATATATTTGCAGATGGAGCTATAGCTGTCATTGAAAGACCCAGGAGAGCTCGTGGAAGTCTCTGAAAGTCAGGTTGGGAGTTTGGGTCACACGTAAGATTTGGCAGGGGAGGGGGGAGAGTAGCACAACATGCTTAGTTTCTTGATGAGGCCCCTCCATGAACACAGTGGGATTTGGGGAAGTGACTATTCAGGACAAAAACACCGCTTCTGGGTGCGAGGGGCATGGGGAAGGCCAGGGCTCTGACCCCAAGCGTGCATTTAGTTTTTCCCAACAGCCAGAGCTTGAAATCTGGAATTCAAATGTGGAATAAGGCAGAGACTTCTTGGTGTCTGAGCACAGACATAGTAGATGTTTTCATGTTATTTTCCAAAGACGAAGGAGGTCTGCGAATAGAACATGTCTATTTTTTCTCAGCAAACACTTTGCGAGCAATTGTTTATCGAACTTTGTTTGACATCATGGTAGATTTGTGCTATCGTGGGTTGCTTTGGCTCTACTGTGTTTTAGAGAAGGTATGAATAAAGCGTACGCGTTGTTCTCTCTCTCTCTCTCTCTTCCTTTCTATAAAACATGGACATGAAACAAAAGCACCGAGGTCTCAAAAGCAGCATCTCATGCTAGTGCCTCTGCTTTTACGTAGGCAGCCTGCTGCAATATGTAGTTTGAAGTCGTGGAGATTTACGTTGGTGTCTGGCTGGGAACTGAGTTCCCTGCAAATCTGGGCCGTAGAAACTGCGTTCAGAGCTGCTGGAGACTTGTACAGGCCACCAGCCGGCAGCCAGGGCTTCTCAGCACATTGGGAGATGAATGTCTTTTGGGGACGCTCGCAAAGTGAATTACTTGTAATTAGAAATTAGGAAGAGGCAGGGGTCTCTAAGCAGGCTGCCAAAGGCGAAGGAGCTGGTACAGCCTCAGCTGGACTGCTGTGTCTTGTTTTGGGCTGTACTTTGGGAGAAAGATGAGCCCCTTGGCAAGAGTCAAGAGGAAAGAAATGATGAATGGAGGGAGCTACGAAAAGAGAGCCATTGGGAAGGACTGAGCAAATTGGTGCCTAGAGGAGGGTGGCTCTGATAACCGTCTTCCAATATATAAAAAGGATGTTGTGAAGAGAAGGGGGGGATTATCTATTGCCCAGATTGGATAGGACAAACAGTAATGGGCTTAAATAGTGGCACAGATGATTCAGATGAGGCACAAGGAAGAATTTGGAGACAGGAAAAAGCACTGGACAGTGACCCCCTGGGCCAGACTGCGAGGGAGGTCGCAGGGTTGCTGCCTCTGAGATTTTTAGAAACAGACTGGGCAAACCTCTGTCAGCAATGACCTGGCAGAGCATGGCGACTCATGAGGAGGGACAGGCTGGAGGACTGGAGGTCTTTCCCAGCACTGTGATTTCTCAGTTCGCTAGGGAAGCTGCAAGGAACGGCTGCAGGCGTCACTCACATAGGACTCTCCATCCCCTAGCAGCTACGTGGGTTATTATAGCTATTTTAAGATACAGCAGTAGCTGGGAGCCTCATCGGACAGATGTGCCACTACATTGCCCAAACATACAGTAGGAAGCAGCCCCAAAGGCTTTGCAAGCAAAAACAGGCCCAGTATGGGAATCGAATCACAAATAATAAACCTAAAATGAACGGGGAGTGCGTATGGCTTTGCAGAAAGACCTATATGTGCAGTCACTTGTCCCTTGACCACGTGATGTTTTTGTTCTTTTGCTGTAGGTGGCGTGGCCTCGTCGCACCTCTTCGACTACGGCTCCACCATGGCCGCAAATGGAGGTGATACCTCCTTCTACACGTCTTTGATTTCAGACGTCCACTACACTACTCCGCGGGACTCCACCTACTTCACGGGCATTTATCAGCAGGAGAACAGCCCTGTTCCCTGCTCAGGCAGCACAGAAGGGTTTAATACGCTGGGGCATCCTGTTCAAGATGTGACTGGATTTGAGTCCCGTGGCTTGTTTAGCTCAGATTCAGGAATAGAGATGACTCCTGCAGAATCTACCGAAGTCGATAAAACCTTAGCAGACCCCATGAAAGTAGAAGCTTATAAATACATGGACATGAGTAGATCAGAAGAAATAAAATACCAAGAAAAACGTGACCCAGACTTGGAAGGCGAGAGCCCAGGCCTTATTGATAAGTATCGTGGAGTATCAGCCGAATCCGACCAAGCTGCTGAAGCTCAGGGGATGGCTTTGGAGGGTACAAAGGCAGCCAAAGAGCGAGGCTCACTTGAAGACGAAAAATCTGGTGATCAGCACAGTGCCTCCACAGTGACAGCCCCTGTGAAGATCACACTCACTGAGATAGAAAGCACAGGGGAGCCTGCCAGCAAGGAGACTAGTCCAACTAAACCAGAAACTGGCCTGAAACCAAGCCACGAGGTGGTTCCAACAGTGACCGTGTCGGAGCCAGAGGATGACAGCCCAGGGTCCGTCACGCCGCCATCATCTGGCACAGGTGAGTCGGCCAAGATGCCCATCACCTTTCTTCGCTATTGAGTAAGTGAATGTAATCGTAGCCTTGTGCACTGAGAAACTGCTACGGGTTTGTGCCTCATGGGATGGAGTGCAGAGTGTTCACGGGGCGTGAGCTTCAGGTAACGGGTCTTCATAGCCAGGATGTTCGTGATGTCTCACCCATGTGGATCACCAGATCCACGGGAAGGGCTCACGCTGGAGCTGCACGGGGCCCAGTAGGGTTTCTCTCCTCTGCCAAGCCGTTTTATGACACAGCCTTCCCAGGGCAAGTTTGTGTCACCCATTCGTAATTTTGTGTGCATAGCGGGGACGATGGAGCTGAGAAGACACAGTAGAAGGATGCTCGAACTGCGCCACAAGCCGCCTTTGGTTTCCCGAGGGCCGAGGCCACAGGGTGCTCCTCTGGAGATGCTGTGTCGCGGAGGGCAGGTCCCTTCCGTCTTGACTGAAGCTCACCAGCAATGATCCTGCAGGCAGAAACCCCGTGAGAACTGACAGGTCTTGGTTAAGGCTTCAGGTAGATGTGGAGTTTTGCAGCCAGGGATATTTACTGCTGGGAGTTAACTGGTTTTGTCTACTGGTGGTACAATAGCAACTCAGATCCTCCTTGCATCCTCAGGTGTGTGCCAGTATATATTCCTGGGTGTGACCACTTCTGGATTATCAAACAACTTTGGAAAAAGAAATAGGAGATGAAGCAAATTGCCTAGAGCCGCTCAGGAGGTCAGCAGCACATACAGGCTGGCAAAGCCTGGTGCCCCAGTACCGTCAGCCCAGCAGTTCTCTGGTTGCACCCCATTGTTTTGAGGTCTTTTGGCCACCCCAGCCACTCACACACCCCCAAAGGAGATGGGAGGTGTTGAACCTGGCAGCTGTGACTAGTTGGGTTCATTTTGATTAGTTTTGATGGCTGTTTCACTCTTTTTTACCCTAGCAGAAAATCAGGTTGAATTGTTAAAAATAAATTTTTAAGTGAAAGTCCTTATTTTAGAAAATGCTGACTAGGGAAATGCTTTCAACTCATTTACAGATGGGGCTGGAGGGACACAGGGCCAGTCTTCTTTAAAGGCTTCTGTTTCCTACTGTTGACAGAGGGAGGCAATCACCACAATACCTCATTTTTGCATTTTTTTTACTGTGTGCTTGCTACAGTGGTACATAAGACCTATTCCTAGTTGCCTATATTACATACTGCTGTCCACTGCTAAAACCGTTGTCACATTATCATGGAGGTAAGGTGACATTTCTAAAAGAAACAAAACTGTATGAAAGAAAACAGAATTTTGAAATTAAACTTCAATGCTCTAGATCAAAATCTTGAAATTTCAAAAAGAGCCTTCCCAAGCTGAAATTTGCATTGTTTTGATGACATCCAGAAACATTTAAAAATGAAATGGGATTTCCATGGAATAGCAATTTGAAATTTCAACGCACGCTAGTTCTTACCCTTAAATGAGCACCTGGTTCCTATCCAGAATTGAGTATGAGATCGAAAGAGTCCCCAGCACCTGTGAGTTTATACTGCCTGCATTAGCCAGAATTTTTAGATAATAAATAAGCTTTAAAGAGTCCCATTTTTCTTCTTTAATTTGACTGGATGATATCACACGTTTCTTCCAAGTTATTCCAATTTTTATTGATTTACACTTTCTACTCTAAAAGGTAATTTAGAACTTCAGGCACTAATTGTTATTTATTCAGTCCCTAACGACTCCAGAAGGTTAGCTTCGTGATTCTGGATAACCATATCCCATAATAATGGGTGAATGTTGTGCGGCTGGGGCTTGTGGCTGCTGCCTTGCCGGGAGGCACGGTGCACCCCATGGGCTCGCCAACATGGGAACGGTGCTCTCGGGGCCACCCGGTCCCCGGCACGGTCCGAATGGCCCACGGGGCCCTACGAAGTCCCACTGCCTTGTGGGGCTGGAAAGCCAAAGGGAAAAAGCTGGAAAGCTCATATATTGTGGTAAAGAAAGGATGGGTGTCTTCCTTTAAGGACTCGCTCTTCCAGCGCGTTTTCCCTGGGTTTCCCACCCTTCCTGCAGCCAGGGACGTGCTGTGCCCCGGCTCTGCTTTTGTAAGTGAGGAAGAGATTAAAACCTGCCCTTGCTGTTTCTACCTAGCGACCCAGCAAAGTCATCACTCGTAGATACCTCTCAAACATGCTGGCAAAGCCAGCTGGAGCCCACGGTTGCCCTTACTGCCTGGACCAGGATGTTTGAGAGCTATTTGCTTTTAACTAATGGCGATGGTCTTTCCGGGGAAAGGAGACATGGGCTGTTTGTACGCTGTGTTGGCACGGAAAGCTAATGGGTGTTCATACGCTTCCCCCCGGCCAGCAGTAAATATGACACTCGGCTCCTGGCGACAGAGAACTTGTTTGTCCCCAAGGTAAATGTCGTAGCCAAACGTTATAACACGCCAGCGTGGACAGAAACTGGGTGAATGGGAGGAGCGGTGGGTTGCTGCGCGCTGAGGGTCACGTGTAGGGCTGGAAGAGCGCCCAGTTAACTCATCGCAGGTCAGCTGCAAGAGAAAACAACGCCACGCTGTAGCGCAGTAGAGCTGCCCAGCTTACGCATGCTTAGTGTAGCCCGAGGAAAAGGATGCAAAGGCTCTTGCTTAGCGTGTCTAATTCAACAGAAACTTCCTGGCATCCTGACAGCAGCCAGTTTTAACAGTCCTGAAAATCTCAAGCCTGTCTACTGCTGTGCGCTAGGTTACAGGACGGCTTTCTCGTGCGAGATGGACGTGTTGCAAGAAGGCTGCGTTATCGGAGGAGCTGCAGGCAAACGTACGCGCTAGGGAGATGTGGTCAAGGATTATCGGAGCAAGACTGGTGATGGGATGTGTATTGGCAGCTAGGGCCAGGCGCTCGCATCAAAAACTGCCTGAGGGGCTTGTATTTCTTGTCCATCTCCCAAGATGATGGTGTGGCTGCTACAGCTTTAGGAGTGCTATTGGCAAGTTGCACACGGAAAAATGCTTTAGGACAGTGAGTAAGGATTAAACATTAAACAGAAGTAAGCAAAACCTCTGCTCATTTTAAAACACGTGGATAGCAGTGGATAGTTTGCAGGGACTGCATCACTGGTGTAAGATGATCTTGTATTTGTTGGCTAAAGAAGCCTGAGGAAAAGGGATGCAGTGGGGAGAGCCCAAATAAAAAGGAAAGCCCAGGGATAGAAAGGGGTTGGGCCCAGAGGCAAATGGGTTGGTAGGATTTTATTCTTAACCCAAGCGTAGCAATACCTGAAGGTTGATCCAGGTTGGAGGCTGGCTTGGCCCCTTAATCAGAGGCTTACAAACATAGTCAGTGAGCAAAAAGTGGGCAAGCAGCTCCTAAAATTTTCTCCTCCAGCTTACCTGCTCCTTGACCAAAGTTTCACCACCTGGGTTGTCTCAGCTTTCTCCTTTCTCTTCGTCCTCCCTTTCTCTTCTCTCACTCTGCTGCCTGCTGGACGTTGCTCAGAAGTGGGCGGCAACCTCCAAGCAGCCAGCCAATATTTGCAAATCTTTGGAGATTTTTAGCTGCTAAACCCCATTGAACAAGCACAAACTGGTAATTTTCCAAGGTTTTTTTTTTTGTTAGACCAGCCCTGGGCATATTTTCACCAGGCGAGCACAAGGCACGTGCTCCTGGCTCTGCAGCTACCCCTTTGCTGAATTTCAAGCCTGTCTTCCAAATCATGGCAGTTTTAGACAATCCCAGAATAAACGGCATTCAACATTTTTATAACAGGCAAAATAGCCTGTTTTTCTAGCCTTATGCTCAGATACAGCTGAGATAAAAGCAAACAGAGAATTCACCCTCTTCCCCCCGCACAAAGAAAGCCTGAGAAAACGTTATGATCCGTAACTTTTCACCCCCAAAATTACGGTTTGACAAAATTTATAGGAACTAAACGTGGACTGTTGAAGTGTCAGAAACCCATCGGCTCCTACCAGCCCTGTGCTTATCCCCAGGACGGGCGCTTATTTGATGGGTGCAATTAGACGGCGATCACGCGTGGCCCGGGGCCCGTTCCTCGTGCTTGGTGATTTCCCTGATAAAAATCACGTTGCTGAGCCACCGGCCAGCATCACCTTGTGCCTCGGCATCCCCCTTAGCAAGTGACGATATTTACCTCTTTTAATAATACCTGCCGCTTTTCCAAAGCGTTTGAGGAGTATGCATGGAAAACACGCTGTAAGGACAAGCTGTTGTGGTTATTCCTTATAGAGAGGGAGACTTCTGCTTGTCATCAGTTCTGCTAGAGGGATCCGTGCCGGCTCGAAATGCGTTGCGCCCATTGGCAGCCCCAAGTTCTCGTTTCTAATAATTTCTTTTCTTTTTTGCTTGTTTTTTTCCACTCCCCCCCCTTCCCCGTCCTCCTGGGTGGCAGAACCGTCGGGCTCAGAATCGCAAGGCAAAGGCAGCCTGTCGGAGGACGAACTTATCAGCGCCATCAAGGAAGCGAAAGGCTTCTCCTTCGAGGCCGCGGAGGCGCCGCGGTCGGCGGGCCTTTCCGCCGAGAGACCCGACCAGCGGGCGAAACCCGGGAGCCCCGCCGTGCCCTCGCCCCCCGATAACGAAGCCAGCAGAGCCGAGGCGGGGGACTCGGAGATAGGG